AAATATTCCTGTATTTTGGTTCAAATTTTTCATAATGGCGTTGATTTTACACAGAGACTTGACTACAGTAACTTGACCACCTGTTTGTTTCGTTGGTTGATTTATAATTAGAGGATAAAACAGTGTGTGTGTGTGTGTGTGTGGGGTAGTGGTTGTGGAGGCTGGCTGGTGTCTGGACCCCCTGTCAGATACTGTTGCCTTGAATTTCTCAACCCAAACACACTGGCTGGACCTGGCTGTGTGTAGTGAAGACCTGACCTGTCTGTATCGAGAACCTGAACCTGGACCTGGCTGGACCTGACCTTGGCTGCTGCTCACTGGTGCTGTTCACTGGCCGTAGGTGAGGACAGCTGCTGCACAGTATCTCAGACTGGCGGACGGACGGATGGACAGTGGGCAATATATATATATATATATATATATATATATATATATATATATATATATATATATATATATATATCGATAAAATCACACGGGAAAAGGGAAACAACGGAGCACCTTAACTTTCGTCTTTATTCAAGACATCTTCAGAGGCAACTGGATTACAAGATTTGTCTTATCCACGTTTTCATTGTTGATCTACATGATTATATATATATATATATATATATATATATATATATATATATATATATATATATATATATATATATATATATATATATATATATATATATATATATATATATATATATATATTATGAAACCCTGGCCAGAGAATTATTGGTAAACCTAACCTAACCTAACTTAACCCAACCTCCCAGTTTTAAACATTTATTACGAAAAAACATAAATAAATAAATAAATAAAACAAAACCAATAAAGAAAAAGAAGTTGTATTTTCATTGGTAGTCCAGTATGTATGCATGTATGTATGTATCTATCCTACACTACAGTACGTTGTATATTAAGTGAACTAAGCGGAACCAGGCGGTGTAGTTTGATTAAGGCGTGTGACAGACAGCTGACAGCGGGTGTAGGAGGGTGTAGGGGTAGGCAGATGAAGGGGGGAGGGAGGGTTGGGACTACAGCTGGTGTTTGATCTGACCAACCACCACCTCCACTCTGATGGGCGGTGGTGGGTGGAATGGGTGGTGGGCTGGGATGGGGAGTGGGTGGGATGGGTGGTGAGCAAAGCCAGTGCCCGTGTCACCGTCACCCTCTTGGTAGTGAACTTCTCCACACACCTTCCACCTCTATTCATCTACCCCCTCCTCTATCCACCTCTTCCTCTATCCACCTCCTCCTCCTCCCACCTCCTCCTCCATCCATCTCCTCCTCCATTCATCTCCTCCATCCACCCCCTTCTTCATCTACCACCTTCTTCATCCACCACCTTGACTGACACTTTAAGACCCCTCCCCCAAGACCCCCTCCTCCAAGACCCCTCTCTTCTAAGACCCCCTCCTCCAAGACCCCCCTCTTCTAAGACCCCCTCCTCCAAGACTCCCTCCAAGTCCAACTGTACATCAAAGACTCAATCTCGTCTTGTAGTTGATATTTTTTTTCACAATTCTTGGTCAGGTCTCTCAGGGGTTCGTTCATTTTATATTTACCTAAACTGAAGATAGAAAGGTGATGACATGAAGTGGTGGTGTGGTGTGGTGGTGATGGTGTGGTGGTGATGGTGTGGTGGTGATGGTGTGGTGGTGTGTGGTAGTGTGGTGTGGTGGTGATGGTGTGGTGGTGAGTGGTAGTGTGGTGTGTGGTAGTGTGGTGTGGTGTGGTGGTGGCCTTTAAAACGATAGTAATTGCTATGTGTAATTTACGTTATTTAAGGGAGGCAGTTAACCCTTTGAGGACGATTGGTTAACCCTTTGAAAATTATGGTTTAACTCTTTAAAGACGCTGATTTAACCCTTTGAGTATATTAGTTTACCCCTTTGATTCCTAACTTTATTGAGTCAGTTAGATACATATGAAACATTGAGACTGTATCATTATTTCGTAATTTAGGTTAGGTTCTCACATCACCAGTAAAGGGATAAATTTAACCTAAGAATCCGAGAGAATCAATAAAGTGATCTAAAAAGACACGGAACAAATACAAAAAAGCAACAAATCAACACTTAAGAAACAACAAACACAAAACAAAAAAACACACACACACACACACACAAAAGTAAAAACAAACTCCACAAAACAAACAATAAAACACAAAACCAAACAAACCTTACAGCGGAAATTCCAACATCTTTTTTCCGGCAAATTAAGGAAGAAATATTTTGCTGTTATCCCTTAAGGCTGTGTACACTCTGGCAGGTTGGGCTGAGTCGCCACGAATTTTAAACAATAGAAAGAATTTATTAAAAGCTGGGCCCGGGCGGTCTGACGTGTGTGGTGGAGGAGGAGTTTGGTTGAGTTACATTAATATGGTTGTGTCATGGTGGTGGGGGGAGGGGGTGTCATGGTGGGGGGGAGGGGGTGTTATGGTGGAGGGGTGGTATTGGTATGGGGGTAGTGTTATGGAAGGAATTGGAGGAGAAGGAGGAGGGAAGACGGAAGAGGAAAAGGAGGTGGTGGTTGTTTTGTGCTTGACCCGTACCATGGGTGGCACAGTGCCAACAACCCTGTCAAGTATCTCTCAACCACCACCACCACCACCACCTGGTAGTCAAGTTAATGCTTTACGATGCTCCATAACTTGTGGCATACTGCAGGTGGTGTCAGCTGGGTGAACACTGTATTGTGCCAGTGTATGTATGTATGGTGTAGTGTGGGTGTAGGGGTGTGGGTGTAGGGGTGTGGGTGTAGTAGTAGTTGATAACGTCTGCCTCATGTACCTCTCAGATGGTTGAGTGGTCCCTCCACGCCTCCATGGCCTCACCAGCTGTCCCCGATGGCCCGAAGGGGAGAGAGAGAGAGAGGGGGGTACGGACTCCTCCTGCTACTACATACTGCCCTCCCTTCCCTCCTGCCTACCCTCCTTCCTCCTCCCTCCTCTCCCTCCTTCCCTCACTAGTACACTCTCAGGCTTATTAAAAACTTTCATTGTTTATGTGTGGGCTGTCAGCTGTTTTTGTTGTTTGGTAGTAACGTGTTGGCATCCCTCCTCCTCCCTCCTTCCTCCCTCCCTCCCTCCCTCCTCCCTCCCTCCCTCCTCCTCCTCCCTCCTCCCTCCTCCCTCCCTCCCTCCTCCCTCTCCCTCTTTCCTTTTAAGTTGTGTATTTTCAAGTGTTATTATTGTTGTTATTTGAGAGTTTGTGTGTGTGTGTGTGTGTGTGTGTGTGTGTGTGTGTGTGTGTGTGTGTGTGTGTGTGTGTGTGTGTGTGTGTGTGTGTATGTCAGTTGAAGTCTATTCATGTCTCCTCCTCCTCTTCTTCTCCCCTCTTTTTTCTCCCTTTTTTCCTCCTCTTCTTTTTCCTTCTCCTCCCTCTCCCCTTCACCTCCCTCATTCCTCTTCTTTTTTATCCTCCTCCACCTCCTCTTCCTCCTCCACCAAATTATCATCATACCCATAAAGCTCATTCTCAGGCCAATTAGATAAGAGTGAACGACCTTAACCACACCAGCCCAAAGTATTATGGTTTTGAGTCTTATTATACTTTAATGTAATAGATATAAAAGTCTTATTATCTTGCAACACACAGAGAGAATACACACAACTCTACGGACACGTCACACCACATTTGACTTACTCGCCCTCTGCAACAATCTTCCTCCGCCATTATTACCTTTACGTTACTGCTGTGGTTATGTTGGCTATGTTGCTGTTGTGTTGTTGGCTTTATTACTATTGTGTTGCTGTTGACTTCTGTTGGCTGTTTTCCTGTGTTGTGTTGTGTACCCTAAGGGGATGTGTTATTAAAGTGTTTGGAGTCAGAAATATGGGTGTGAATGGGTGATGGGGTGGGGCGATCAGACCAGGGGTGGGGGGAAGGGTGGGGCGATGAGTCAGGGGAAGGGGTGGGGGTGGGGGAGAGTTGATCATAAGAATTCAATCCGTCCATCAATTGCTGAAGATGTTGTGTGTTACCCCCGTCATGCAGAAAATGGCGTACAAAGGTATTAGCATAATTTGTCTCAGCATAAAAGGAGTGTGTGGGTGTGTTATTATGGAGGGAGGAGGGAAGGAATGGGGGGAGGAGGAGGAGGAGGAAGAGGAGGAGGAGGGAAGAGTAAGCGAGTCTCTCATCTCTAGGAGTGGTGAGAGGTGGAAGGAGGAGGTCACCAAGTTCCCCCTCCTCCACCTCACTGTCACCACCACCTCCAAGACGACGTACACACACACACACACACACACACACACACACACACACACACACACACACAAACACACACACACACGCAGAACACACACACACACACACACACACACACACACACACACACACACACACACACACACACACACACACACACACACACACACGCAGAACACACACACACACAAATTAATGCATTGTGTCGAGCTGTGAAATGCATTCAGTGGACCGCCAACACGTTAACTCTATTTACAGGTACGTGAGATGAAATGTGATCATGTCCAGAGCTCGGCCAATAGGAGGTAAGGATGTTTAGAGTCTAGCCAATAGGAGATAAGGATGTTTAGAGTCAAGCCAATAGGAGATAAGGATGTTTAGAGTCTAGCCAATAGGAGATAAGGAAGTTTACAGTCAGCCAATGGTGGTGTTTTATTATTCGCTATACATATATATTGTTATTGTATGTAAACAGATGAAGGGTTCTTGCTGAGGCTGACCACGGTGATCCTAGATGATTGATGTGTGTGTGTGTGTGTTAGTTAGAGAATCAGGTGTTTGTGTTTGGAACCTCCTCCTAACCTAACCTAACCTAATTTAACTGAGGGAGGCCCAAAAATCATACGGTCGCTTGAGAATCCACGTCAGGTATCGTAGAAGGATTAAGGTATCGTAGGTAAGAGACGACGACACACACACACACACACACACACACACACACACACACAGGCTCCGTCGTCGGGTCGTTTATGTGTTGGCACTTTTAACTCATAAATCAATGTAGGAATCTCTGAGGACTTTCGTGGGGGTGGCAGCAGCACCGCCTTCTGCCTTCCTCGACACCCCCCTACCGCCTTCCTCCCACCCCTGCCTGCCGCCCTCTGTCAGTGCCCTTGCACCCAGCGCCCTGTCAGCCACGCCCTGCACCAGCGCCCCTGTCAGCCACCCTGCACCCAGCGCCCCTGTCACGCCTGCACCCAGCGCCTCTGTCAGCCACGCCCTGCACCCAGCGCCCTGTCAGCCGCCCCCTGCACCCAGGGCCCTGTCAGCCACGCCCTGCACCCAGCGCCCCTGTCAGCCACCCCTGCACCCAGCGCCCCTGTCAGCCGCCCTGCACCCAGCGCCCCTGTCAGCCACGCCCTGCACCCAGCGCCCTGTCAGCCACGCCACCCAGCGCCCCTGTCAGCCGCCCTGCACCCAGCGCCCCTGTCAGCCACGCCCTGCACCCAGCGCCCTGTCAGCCACGCCCTGCACCCAGCGCCCTGTCAGCCACGCCTGCACCCAGCGCCTCAGCCACGCCCTGCACCCAGCGCCCCTGTCAGCCGCCCTGCCCAGCCTGTCAGCCACCCTGCACCCTGCCACCTTCAATAACGATCTCTATCATCGACCTCATTATCCCACGATTGTTGCAGTATTTCCTCCCTACTGTGTGTGTGTGTGTGTGTGTGTGTGTGTGTGTGTGTGTGTGTGTGTGTGTGTGTGTGTGTGTGTGCATTATACTAGAAGCTGATCAGACTTGAGCTAGTAGATGGGAACTTATTGTGGATGCTAGTAGTCAGGATACTATTAAAACTAGCACAGGTAAAGCAATTAAGGTGTTGTGTTGGCCTGGGTAATGAAGGACCAACAGGCAGTGGCTAATTTAAGATAACCTAGAGTGATGGGGGTAGGGGGGGGGTCAAGATAATGGTATGTTGATGGGTCAGGGTAGGGAGTTAATCCTTGGAGGGAGAGAAGGGAGGGATTAAAGAGGAGGAGGACTAATGGATGACAAGAAGGATGGAGTTTGTTGTGTGAGGAGAGAGAGCATAAGGGAATGTAAGTGCGAGAGTGAGGGGATGAGAGAGGGAGAGGATGAGAGAGGGAGAGGAAAAGAGTAAGTGAGGGAGGAAGCGTGGAGATAGTTACCCCCAGCAGCGTGATGGAGGAGAGGGAATAAGGGGTAGGAGGGGGTGGATCAGCGGGACCCCAAACCCCACTATTATTTAGGATGACACAAGTATTTGTCACACACACACACACACACACACACACACACACCACACACACACACACCTCTCAACACCAGCACTACCCTCCCTCATCACTACTACCCCCACCCCACTGCCCCTCCCCCCCCCCACCACCACATTGCTATTCCCCGTGTGGCCGCCAACTAATTTTTGATGCTCTGTGGAATCAGCTGAGTCTGGCTTTAGCTGTGGTCAAAGCTTCTTTAAGGTGGAGAGCCTGCTTGGTGTGGATGAAGACAGGTGGTGGTGTGGCTGAGGAGATGGTGTGATGGTGGTGTGGTGAAATTGTGGTGTGGCTGGTGAGATGAGTGGTTGCTGGTGAGATGTGGTAGTGTGGCTGATGAGATGGTGTAGTGGTATGGTTAATGAGATAGTGTGGTCATGGTGTGGTTATGGTGTGGCCGGGGTGGTGATAGGGAGAATCGAAGCCCCATTAAGGAAGAGAAAACTGACACGAATCAACAACTTTACCAAACAACTCCGGGACGAGTCTTTGGGTCGGAGCGCTTGGGTCTCGGGTGTCAACAGAGATATGGTTATAATCAACAGAACTTCGATTTTGAGTCAACAGAGAGCATCTTACAATCAACAGAGCATCTTACAATCAACAGAGTCAACAGAGAGCATCTTACAATCAACAGAGTCAACAGAGAGCATCTTACAATCAACAGAGTCAACAGAGAGCATCTTACAATCAACAGAGAGTTTCTTACAATCAACAGAGTCAACAGAGAGCATTTTATAACCAACAGAGTGGATCTTGAGGCAACAGAGAGCATTTAATTTTCAACAGAATTTGTATCTTGCGTTAACAGGGACCCTTTAGTGTGATTCAAAATATACAGTGGTTCATCATGAGGGAGGGAAGTTGGCTGCCGAGGAGGACCTTACTCGAGGAGGACCTTACCCGAGGAGGACTTTACCCGAGGAGGACCTTACCGGAGGACCTTACCCGAGGAGGACTTTACCCGAGGAGGACCTTACCCGAGGATGACCCTACCCGAGGATGACCTTACTCGAGGAGGACCTTACTCGAGGATGACCTTACTCGAGGAGGACCTACCCCGCCTGATGGGCCATTTGTCATCATACTTGAGAGATGAAGACTTATGATGTAAGGATTATGAAGTTGAGGATGGTGGTGATAATGGTGGTGATGGTGGTGATAATGGTGGTGGTGATGATGGTTATTGGGGTAGTGATAGTAGTAGGGTGATGATAATGATAGTGAAGATGATAGCTGTAATTGAGTATCATTATAATTGCGTGAAAATAGCCTATCATTGAAGAGGATAATGTTATCTCATGTTCCAGGGAGTCATTATAATGTTGAAGACGGTAGTGAGTGAATAACATTATGACATTATACAACATTCATTTAGTACAAGGAATGCGTCATGATACACACACACACACACACACACACACACCAGTATAATAGCAGCAGGTGTGTGTTATCAGCAGATATCGACCCCCCATAACCTATTAACGACAATTAACTCGTTAACACCACCTAACTACCTGGTTAACTATGCCTCCCCACCTTGTTTGAGGCTCGACTACCAATCCCTAAGATGCTAACTAACCTCCTTAACTACTGCTGATGATTGTTGTTGTTGTTGTGTTGTAATTGCTTGTACAACACTTGGGGTCGGAACTGGGGATCTTAATAAACAGTTGTTAGAGCCCCCCTCCCCCCCCCTCCTCTCCCCCTCCCCCCCCCCTCCTCTCTCTCTCCGTCTCCCCTCCCTACTCTCTCTCCTTCTCTGTCGGTACACAGAAATGTGGACTGGTTGTCTGTATGTCTGTTTATCCATCGACTGTCTGTTTCGAGGAAATTGTCTTTGTTTGGTACACTTCCACCCCCACCTCACGCCACACACACACACACACACACCTCACCCCCCACACTCACCCCCACACCACATAAACAGGCCTAAAAATGCACCTCATAAACTTAAGGGGATAATGTAGGATAGTGAAGGATAGTGAAGAAGGATAGTGAGTAGGATGGCAGAAGAAATAGAATCTTACGGTGATTCCCGCAGATAAAGCAACTAGTTTGTCTCTCGATGTTGCCAATTACTTAACAGAGACAATACCACACACACACACACTGCTGCTCTCTCTCTCTCTCCTCTCTCTCTCTCTCTCTCTCTCTCTCTCTCTCTCTCTCTCTCTCTCGTATTTGTCGGAACCCATATCAAATGTTGTCAGAGTAGAAGATACATTATTTGCTTTTCCTTACTGTCAGAACTCTCGCCCAGGTAAGGAAGGACAGTGTGGTAATTCAGGTATACTGTCAGTGTGATATATACCTTCAATTTGGCTCACTCAGTAAAATAGGAGGTGTTGGTAGTGGTTGTTGTGTCAGATATACTAGGTGTGTCTCTCTCTCTCTCTCTCTCTCTCTCTCTCTCTCTCTCTCTCTCTCTCTCTCTCTCTCTCTCTCTCTCTCTCTCTCTCTCTCTCTCTCTCTCTCTCTCTCTCTCCCCTCTCTCTCTCTCTCTCTCTCTCTCTCTCTCTCTCTCTCTCTCTCTCTCTCTCTCTCTCTCTCTCTCTCTCACTGAGTCCGTCTGTATTTGTTGACTAAATTACTTTAGTTGACTCACTGTAATTCAGGTGGCGGGAGGTAATGGCTCGTAAGCTGTAAATACCTGCCTGTTCCTCTAATTAACTATCGCCAGTACCATGCATTAACTTACACAATGTCGGGGGACTTTCTAATTACCGGACATAGACCTCAAACCTAACCTAACCCTTCCCTCTCTCTCTCTCTCTCTCTCTCTCTCTCTCTCTCTCTCTCTCTCTCTCTCTCTCTCTCTCTCTGTCCACTGGTTCAGACTGAGCTTATGATGACAGTTCAGTTTTAATAAAGGAATCAGACTGACCATTTTTTTTACCTCACCGTAGAAGCTGCTTGGCATTTTCCCGTCCTGTGCTGGATATTGATATTGCATTCTGAAAGCAATTTGTTTCCGAGGATCCCGTTGTCAAAAATGAAGTGTATTCTGTGTGTGTGTGTGTGTGTGTGTGTGTGTGTGTGTGTGTGTGTGTTGTGTGTGTGTGTGTGTGTGTGTGTGTGTGTGTGTAAAAGACCACACAGACAGAGAGAGAGAGAGAAGAGAGAAGAATCATGTCTGTTGGTGTTAAGTTCATCACTCAGACATACTGTAAGCCACCAACCGGCACCTTTACCAAGTTGTTTTAGTTACTCCTTCTGCCGGGGTCCTGCTGCTGACCGGAGGGGGTTGTGGTGGTAGTGATAGGGTGTGTCTGCCCTAAGCCCTCCACAGGCCCCCGATGTCCTCCCTAAGCCCTTCAGGTCCTTCCTAAGCCCTTCAGGTCCTTCCTAAGCCCTTCAGGTCGTCCCTAAGCCCTGCAGATCTTCCCTAAACCCTCCACAAGCCATCCAAGTCCTTCCTAAGCCCCTCACGTCTCCTCTAAGCCCCCACGTCATCGTTTTAAGCCCCTCCCCAAGCCCCCCACGTCATCCCTTGTTAAACTAGGTAGGGGCTGAGAGAAGAGAAGAGAGAGAGTTAAAGGTGACTGAGACGTACCCTAATGACCCCTATTGACCTCTTATATCCGGCTCATTACGTGATATTGTGTTTCATTTTTAAGAGTGGTGACCTTTTATTGCAGCTGTGGGGGGTGGTATGGGGAGGAAGTGGTGGTGTGGGGCTGCGGGGGAGGGTGGTGGTGTGGAGAGGTTGAGTGTGGTGTGGGGTGGTTGGCGGGGTGTGGGGATGTTGTGTGGTGTGTAGCGTCCACCCACTCACCCACAGCCTGTTCCAAACTCCAGATAATAAGGCAAGTATTTGAGACAGGAAGTTTACCATGCTCTCTCTCTCTCTCTCTCTCTCTCTCTCCTCTCTCTCTCTCTCTCTCTCTCTGTCACACACATCACGAGAGAATAAAATCTGGTGATACTGTCGAGATGTGTCGTCAGGAGCCAGAGGGTCAGGTCAGAGGAGGAGGACCTGTACCAGAACGACTTCAAAGCTCCGTCGTGAGGCGTGGACAGGGAAACAGGTGGTGTCCTTAAAGGGGGTAATGGAGTGGTGATGGGGGAATGGAGTGGTGATGGGGAATGGAGTGGTGTTGGGGAATGGAGTGGTGTTGGGGGATGGAGTGGTGTTGGGGGAATGGAGTGGTGTTGGGGGAATGGAGTGGTGTTGGGGAATGGAGTGGTGTTGGGATGGAGTGGTGTTGGGGAATGGAGTGGTGTTGGGGAGAATGGTGGTGTTGGGGGAATGGAGTGGTGTTGGGGGTGGGTGGTGATGGGGAATGGAATGGTGATGGAGGAATGGAGTGGTGATGGAGAGGAATGGAGTGGTGATGGAGGGCTATGTTATGTGGGAGGATGCTGTACTGTGCTGTTTTGCTCGTGTTCTGCTGTGATGTTCTCTGCTGTGCTTTGACTGTGTTCTGTGTTCTGCTGTGTATATCGATACTGAAGTTAGAACAAAATATAAACATGTTTTTAACCAGATCAGGTCAGTCACCCTTAAAGGATATGTGAGACTTGACCCCATCAACTCTGTGACCTGTATTGACCCCAGTGTGTCCTGTTGGGGTGTTCAACGCAGAGGCCACACTTAATGGCCTCGTTTGGAGGTCTTTATGAGGGTCACTAGTATACTTCAGGAGGCCAATGATTTGTAGTGTTTAATTATTTAACTCAAGTACATGTGTGTGTGTGTGTGTGTGTGTGTGTGTGTCCTCCCTTACCTGCTAACTTTCCGTGGAAAGTTAAGAATTCAGGTGTTACCTCTCTCTCTCTCTCTCTCTCTCTCTCTCTCTCTCTCTCTCATCTTAATATTATACTCCCACATTTAATACTTCTATTGTTAACTTACCCATACATACATACATACATACATACATACATACATACATACATACATACCAAGGTAGAGTAATTAATAGATAGATAAACAGGGCAATGAAAGGCGGTGAGGTGAGGGTGGGGTGAGTAATGCGGCCACCCATTACACCAAACCAAACGGAAAGTGAGAGGGTAATTGGTGTGTAATTGGGTGGAATATATGAGTGACCCTCCTAGGTAATGGGCGGCTCTTGGCGGGCGGCCAGAAGGAAGGCTGAAAGGGCGGCAGGCAGGGTGGGTGGGTGGATCTTGGGTCTAGTGGGTGGCTCTGGGGTGGTGGAAGTGAGTGAGTGGGTGGTGGAAGGGAGTGAGTGGTGGGTGGAAGGAGGGAGGATTAGTGGGTGGGCGGGTGGTGGAAGTGGATGAGTGGGTGGCTCAGGTGGGGGAGGAGGAGGAGAGGAGGAAGCGGAAAACAGGTTCTTCTTCCTCCCTCTCTTCCTCCTACTCCTTCCCCTTCCTCCCCTCCCTTTCCCTTCCTCCCCTAACACACACACCCAGGCCGATCATAACCGTATTCCCGGTCTCAGGTGTCTCTTAATTACGGACAGGTGATCAATACACTGGCGGCCACACGGGTGAATGTCGTGTCCAGTAGGTTAGGTTAGGTTAAAACCGATAAAACTCACGCGTATGGGGGCATAATGTGTTGTGATTGGTCCTCTCCCACACATTGGCCTCCCTCCCTAGCCAGCCTAACCTAACCTAACCTTAATCACACGGTCGTTACCACCCGATATTCTCCCGTGTGTGTTGTGGTCCCAGCGTCACGGTGATGTTAGGACACGCCGTGATGGTAACCCCGTGGGAGGAGAGATTGTCTTAGTTCCACATGCCTGTAGACACACACACACACACACACACACGACACTCACCCACACACACACACACACAC